AGACTAATTTATATGACAGATTTTAATGTAGGCTTTTATACATATGTAAACATTATTTAATTACCATTATAACTAGCTATCTCACACATTTTTGCTCACTCAGTGTTTTTTTTATTTTACAGTGGGGTAAATTTGGTGCAGTAGCACGTGATAGCTTGATTTCAAACTTTGAATTGAATAAAAAATGACAAGTAAGCAGTCAGTAATAAAATAAGAACAAATAAAGAAATTACTAATGATAGCACAAATAAAAAAAAATCACGATAGGCCTACAAATGAAATAGATTGCTTTTTAGTTTTTCAGGTAGGTCTAACAGTAGGATTAAGATATTAAACAATTTTTTTTTTTTTTTACCAATTATCCAAATAATGTTTAGTCCTAGAAAGCTATTGTTATCAGAACACGTGAGCATAACATAACGGTTAGCAGATCAATGAATGAGAGGGCAGTGTTACCAGAGTTGCCCATATACCACACCATGTTACAACACAGTAGGGCTATTGCAGACAGAAACAATACTGTACTACATCGATGTTTCCTGTCGGCTCAATTTTTTAGTGGACTTTGCTGTTCCAATTCGCATGAACGGTATACGAGTGGAGCGACTGAGCGGAGCGCACACATATAGAGCGGGATAATACAGAGAGCGTCACACCACGTGAAAGTGAAACCTGAGCGGCACCCCGGTTGGGAAAATTAAAGTATCAAATAATGAGCTCAACAACATGCATCACGTCAAACTTGATAGTTAAATAAGTGAGAAGTCTCAATTAACAATGTCTGAACAATAATCACTTCCCCTGGAATAGTTACACGTCCTCTACAAACCAAAGCAGCTGCTTTACTTGACACGCAAAACATTGCTCTGCAAAAACACAGAAAAAGCAGAATCTGCATAATTATAGCACACTAAATCATCCATTTTGGGCCCAATTGGGAAGACTAATCGGTTAGCTGCTCATAAAGCAAACACATTGCAACCTGACAACGCTCTCCCTGAGAAAACTTTAGCGCTCGGGTGAGTGGTTTCCGGCGAAACGTCTCTTAGCACATCCACAAAACCCCAAGATCAGAGTAGGAACTCCAAGAAGTCGGTTATGAAAGCGAGCAGAAGCTATTTTTATTCATCTGCGTCAGTCCTCTGGGCAAACAGTTGGTGCAAAATTAAAGCAAATGGAATGTTTTAGGAGTTTAGACCAGCTGAAATTTGTCACGCCGAATTTTAATGAGGATATTTATGGACGGTGATGACGAGCGTGTGGTAATGTGTGGCGACGGCGAGCAACTCACCGCAGTTGGCCTCGTCCGATCCGTCGGCGCAGTCGGGGTCCTCGTCGCACACCCACAGCTTGGAGATGCAGTGCATTGTGGTCTTGCATTGAAACTGGGACGGCGAGCAAGTGTTCTCGGCTGGAGATGTAGAGAGAAGGAGATCATGTGATCAAAACTTTGAGAAGTTTAGTTGACAAACCACAGAATAACTTTTTCGTGAAGTTTTAGATCCGATTTTAGAGCTACTTTACGGAATCCAACAGTTTGTCGAGGCTTTATTCTGCTGCGACACTTTTTTTGAAAGAGTAGCACCATAAAGAATCAGTAACAGACTGCAGAAAACTGTGCTTTGATCTTCCCACAAACCCTAAGAAATGAAGCCATGGATTGTGCATAATAACAGGAACGCTGCTCGCAGCAGGCGATCTGAGGTCCGACAGTGATTGTTTTGCAGTTGATCGTATATAAGGAGGTGAATTTGCACACAAGCGCTGCTTTGATGGCTGTAGCAGTGGCGCTTTAAATGAGATGAATAAAGAGACATTTTTTGGCGACTAATGCTAAAACCCTCATGGAAGAATAAAACTGTACCTGAGAAGTTGGTGGTGCTATTAACTTTTATTTTATAATTTTTGTATATATATGTGTATATATATATATATATATATATAATAATAAGTAATAACAATAATTAATATAAATAATATGATAAATAATGATAATATCTAGTAATAAAAAATAGTCATATTAAATGATAATAAGAAGAATAAATATTTCTTAAGTACCAAATCAGCATATTAAAATTATTTCTTAAGGATCATGTGACACTGAAGACTCGAGCAATTATACTGAAAATTCAGCTTTGATCACAGAAATAAATAGCATTTTAAAATATTTAATATATAAAATACTTAATTTTTGTATTAAATATATTAATATTTACAATATAAATATATATTAAAACAGAAAACAGTTCTTCTAAATTGCAACTATTTAACGATAGATACTGTTTTACTGTATTTTTGATCAAATACTGTAAATGCTGCTTTGTTTAGCATACAAATTTAAATGTTATTTATTTATTTTAAAAATGTTAAAAATTGTAATGATTCCAAATTTTGGGTGGTAGTGGATATATTCATACACCTAAGTATATGCATATATTATTTATTATACAATAATATTGAAGAATATTTATTTTCATCTTAACTAAATATAAATTTAAGTAAATAATGTATACTGTAGTCCAGTATATTACAGATATTACAATTTATTATTATTCAATTTTAAATAATGTCTGTCTTTTTAAGGGAGTGGGTTGTGTCCGAAATATGCTGAAAATGTCCCAAAAATTAGTTTTGTAGTTTTTCTACATAATACACCATACTGCTTTGTTTCTTTTACTTTTGAATTTGAGGTTAAATTATGGTTAATACAACACATTTTCCTGGAGAACTTTTTTAAGGTCCACCTGGATTCATTTCTCAACACTTTATACTTCCTCTAAAGCATGATTAATTCATGATAAAACAAGTAAAACAAGACTGTACCCTGGTGGTCTGAGTAACCGCAACTTCTCATTTTCAGACAGCTGCGCGCTAAGCTAAGCTAAGCCTAGACTCGACATTCCCGGCGGTGGAGCAGCAATCTTGACCCACAGCTCTCCCTCCTTTGGGGGGGGGAGGTCTAAAGCCAGCCTCTAATGCCATGCTCCATATGCGATTATCCCTGTTAAACCCTCCCTCTGTTTGGCTAATCAGTGCCCAGGGCTGAGCTCAGCTCCCCTGGATCCAAGACGCCGTCAGACCCCCTCAAAGGCCTCTTAGAGTTCTGGGGACCCTCCAGGCTCCGTCCCATGCAATGCTGTTAATGATTTTCCTCGATTTTTACTTCTATCTTTCTGATTCTCTCTCAGAGAAGACAGACAGCTTCTCTTCTGCGTTCTCCCGTAAGCGCGTACCAGAACCGGGCGTCTTATCAAAGCCCAGCCAGATACTCGACTCTGGGGAGGAGTGAGAAATTAGGCCCCTGCTGTGGCTTCAAATGGAGGATTCAGATCTGAGCGAGAGCATTAACTTCTGCCAGTCTCCTTCTTCTGTACCACCACCTAAAATAAGTCTTGCATTTGGACTAGGATTCAAATCCCTGTCGCACGAAGTAATGATTACTCCAGCCTGATTTCTGAAGGTGACACAAGACGGCTTCTTTGCTTCCTGGTTAGCAAGTCTACCTCGCTTTCTTTTTTCTCATTTCTTTCTTCTCGCTCTCGGTGTCCTAAATTCCCCTTGAGCAATTCCGTCTGCAGCCGAGGAATGAGAAAACAAAACAAAACTTTGGCCAATATTTACCAGGCTCCTCGCTTGGCACTTTTCTCATCAGCCGATTCAAAGTTCTCAAACATTTTGTTGAATCTGTCTGAGTTTGACCTTCACGAGCCAATAAACACATTCAGAAGTCATAAAGAAGGAGATTTAATCTATTTCTGACCTCTCTCGCTCTCATTTTCTGGTTGTTTTTCCTCTCCTGAAGGGAAAACTAGCTCAGTAGGAACTCTTGCTGAGATTCTTTGAGGAACGATGAAAACTAATGGCGTTCATTGTCGTTGATGACAAATCTGAGAGAGAGAAAAAATGAGACTCTCTTACGGCAATCGGTTTCATCTTCACCGTCTCCACAGTCATCTTGTCCATTACAGCGCAGGTTTATAGGGATGCACTTCTGCCGGTGAGTGCACTTAAACTGGCCAGACAGGCAGATATACGAGTCTGAAAGCAAATGCAAACAAGGATATCATTGTATGATGCATCATACTGCATTATGCTTGGTCTCCATTTATCTATCCATCAATCTATAATTACCACAGTTGGCTTCATCGGAGTTATCTCCGCAGTCGTTCTCTCCATCACAGATGAAGGGAGGGAGGGCACACAAACCCGTTCCGCACTGGAACCTTCCCGGCTGGCATTTAAACTCCGCTGTAAACAAATGAGAGAACAAATGAGTAAAACAACCAACCAAGAAAGAAAGAAAGAACTAACGCAAGACAGAATCGAGAGCAAGAGCGGTTGGATTCCTCAATCCAGTCCTCAGCAGTACGGTCGGGTAGAGTCCATTAGCTTTCGCCACCTCCAGGGTCTTTCTCTCGCCATCACACCAGTACAAGTTCTTGCCGATCCAGTCCACAGCGAGAGCACTGGGGACCGACGTTCTGTGAACTACCTGAGAAAACAGCAGTCAAGCACAGTTGGTCTCTTTTGGCCGGTTATTCACATGGATTTATCCACAGCCGGTACCGTAGGGAACAAATGCTTCCTAGGAGAAAAGTTCAGAATGGTGAGGGTGAGATGCAGCTGTGCACTGTATTTTGCTGGTAGAGTAAAAGTAAGTCTTTATTGTTTCTGCCAACAGTTATTGTCATGACAGGAATTGAAATGTTCATTTTTAACAGTATAAAACAAAACAAACAGAAATGTGTTCATATAAACCTAATCCTGGCTCAGTTAGCCAGCACATTAGCAAACAACAGTTAACAAACTTGTATACATTGTCAGATACAATGGGGGTGGGGGAGGCTTTGTTTCCTTATCAAAACAAAAACGTTAATAATATAATAACCTCTAGATGTGGTTGTCAACTGATGGCTTGTAGGTCCACAAAAAAATAGTTTGTATAGCAATTAGCCAAATAAATTAACAGGTTTTCACAGCAAAAATGTCAAATTACATCAACAGCTTGTAAACATAGGATGAACTTGCACATGAAGGGGATTTGTTTCTTCAAATAACCTGGAAAATTCAAGGCTTGTATAAGCCTATGATAGCCTACGATTTGTTTCTTAACTAGTGGTTTGTATGTCCACAAAAATGGCTAGCATAGCATTTATCCAGCAAATTAGCTTGTAAATGTAGGATACAATTAGGAGTGAAGGGGCTTTGTTTCCTCAAATAAAATTACAATTTTAAGATCATTTCTAGATGTGTAGTTCTCAAATGATGGCTTGCAAGTCCACAAAAATGGTTAGCATAGCAGACAGAAAATTACACTGCAAAAAGTCAAACTACAACAAAATTAGCCAATTTGTAAATGTAGGATGGAAGTGGGATTGAAGGGGCTTTGTTTCCTCAAAGAAAAAGAAAAATTCAAGACTATGATTATCTCTTATATGTGTAGTTCTCAACTGGTGGCTTACAGGTCCACAAAAATAGTTATTTAATTTAGTCAGCAAATTATCAAGTTTTCACTGCTGTCAAAGTCAAAAGCTTTCGGTGCAGTCAAAGTCAAACTACACCAACAACAACAACAACAACAACAACATTCAATAACTTGTAACTGTTGGACTTGTGTTAGAGGATTTGGTTTCTTCAAATAAAATGAAAAATGCAAGACTATGATAACCTCTAGATGTGTTGTTTCTTAATTGATGGTTTACAGGTTCACATCATAGCATTTAGCTAGTAAATTAGCAAGTTTTCACCACAAAAAGCCAAACTACAACAACAACATACTTGTAAATGTAGGATAAAAGTAGAAGTGAGTGAAGGGGCTTTGTTTCTTCAAATAAAATAAAAAAATTCAAAGCTATGATAACCTATATAGATGTGTAAGTAGGGTGACTATACGTCCTCTTTTTCCCAGACATGTCCTTATTTAGGACCTAAAAAAATGCGTCCAGCCGGGATTTCGAAATCACTCAAAATGTCTGGGATTCGCCATTCATTGTGTACTTTTGTATTAAAGCCCTGCACAGGTCTGTTTTCTTAATCCCGCTCCCAATTTCTGACCATTACCGCCTGCTCCCACAAACAAATTAAAACTAAAGTTATTTTAGCAAACTAAAAACTCTTGACTGTAAATGAAAAATTGGGGTCCTAAAAGCAATCCATTTGAGAACCGCTGAGCTAGACTTGTACATTATTGCTAATTATCAGCGGGCTACATAACTGCTCATTAACGGCACTTCAAACTCCCCAAAAATGGCAAGAAAAGTTCCCAAAGGAAGTAGTTTTACAAAAAAAGGCACTTCACAACATTTCACTGCTCATACTGATCACAGAAACTGCCTGTTTGGCATAAACAATACTCTTCCCAGCTGGCAGATAATCCAGCGCTTTTAATCATTTTCGCTCTTGGTTGCTGGTGCCCCCTGCCTAGCGCTTTAAGAGTAAGAGTAACATTCTGCAAGCTGATGAACATTAGAGATGAACATTAAAGACATTTTGCCTCAGACTGGGTCTTACCATCAGCGCTAATTAAAACTAGCCTAGCCGTGATGAATTTCGACATCTTCACAGGTTTTCTAGATGCTGTGCTCATCAGGGAAACTAACATCTTCAGGTAAATGGTACAGAATCACAGGGTGGAGATACACCACAGGGTGAAAGTGCACAAAAATATGAACCAGGTAAGCAAAACAACACCAACAAAACATGGCAAATTCAATTACTAAGTCAATTAAGTCAAGTTCTATAATGCATGCAAAAAAAAGCGCACACATTTGGATTTTTGTCGAATGAGAGAAGTATGTGACCCCAAGTCCCCAAGTGTTTTCTAAAAACGTATCTAAAATACGCTTATATTTTTTTATAATGTTCGGAAATGTTTTTTTTTATTTATAGGTATTTTACATTATTTTTTGAATGTAATCAAATTAAGTTGTTGTTTTTTTTCACAATAATGTAATTTCGACCTGGTGCAACTTATTTTACAAAAAACATTGTATGCAAATGAGGTAACGATGCAAACAAGCCCAAACAATTACCAATAATTTAGATAGTTTGCATTACATTTAAGGTGTGATTGTGTTGAAAAGAACGTCAGAGACCTACAATTCTCACAATGCTGAGATCAAACTGATCTCTTGAAGAATCTTTGGCAGGACGTACATTTTTTGGGGCAGTCAAAATAAGTGGTTTTTTTTTTTTGCATTTCCAGATTGCCGGACTTTTCACACAATGTCACATACATACTGCATTGATCGTTTGTAAAGTTTCAACGCCTGTGAATTTATGATAAAATCAAACCGAAACATTTCAAATCTCTCCAGACATCCCGGAAGAATGTCTCATTTACAGTCATTCAAAGTGATTACCAAGAGTATTTTTACCTTGCATTGCAAAATTCTCTCACTCTCTGAAACTTTCATTCTATCTATTTATCATCTCCTTTCCATCAATGTCCTACGAAAAAAAAAAAAACCTCTGTTATCTTTGTGTTGCTTAATTTTGCCTTTTCCTTTCCTGGTAATTTACATAACATTTAAGTTTAATTAACATGAAAAGGAAGAGTGATTTCGTTGAAAAGATCTTGTGAAAAAACAGAGGCAAGGAGTACTTTTTTTGGCAGACAAAATAAGATTGCCCCCAGTGGTCGCAACTGGTACTGCTAATACAGTATTTTTATGTAACATGACAGGCACATTGCATTGAATGTTTGTAAGTTTCAACGCCTGTGAATTTATGATAAAATCAAACCGACACATTTCAAATCTCTAGACGTCTCTCTTGACGTCTGGCTCATTTGTATACATTCAAAGCATTTACCAAGAGCATGTTTACCTTGCAATGCAAAATTCTCTTACTCTTTGATTTTCACTCCTTTTGTTCTATTTATTTATCATCTTTCCATTGACGTCCTATAAAAAAGTCCCATTATCTTGGTGTGACTTCATTTTGCGTTTAAGTTCAACATTTAGGTTGACTTTATCACTTCTTCGTTGCCTTTACAGACGCTCTACCTCTCCTTCTCTTTCTCTCTCTGTACTATAGCACACTATCATAAATCAGTTGAAGATCCAGAGTTCAATCAAGCTTAATGAGCCATTATGGCTCGATATTAAACATAACGAGCTCTGGCGGCCCAGCAGGGCAAGGCTGGCACACTATGCCCGTTTTCCGCCCTGAGTAATATACACAAGGGCATTGATGGAGAGGAGTATGAAGACAGACAGCCTCACACAAACACATTGCCCTGTCTATCATTCCAACCCTGGCTCATTTCATACCATTTATTCTCAGAAAAATATAAGCTTTTATTTATTTGTTGGAGTGATGTAAATATGTCTGCTTTACCCCCATTGGAATCCATCAATTACGCAATAAAAATTGCCCCTGTACAGAGGTGACGTGAATCAAATTTACCCAGGGGCAGAGGGTATTTGCATATGTCAGTCTGGGCAATTCTGGGTGATTTCAAGAGTAATTCAACGTAAACACACACACACACACACTCGCAAATGTACCTTGAGGTCACTTCCATTCAGGCGCATTCTGTTTATTCTGCGTCCGCTGGGCCTGCTAGTGTCAATCCAACTCAAACCCCCCGCCGCGTTCAGATCTAATTTGCTGGACCAGACCTTTTAAATCAAACTGATGGAGTTCATGACTGATGAATCAACCCAAGTGTGCGTTTTTAACTGCTCCTTCGATGGCAAGCCGCTCAATCTCTTCACACGAGGGCCATGAGAGACTTTCTCATCCAACGGTCCCTTCAGAGCCAAATCGGTCATGGTTCCTTTTGCACTGACAAGCAGTTTCATACAGATTTAAAGACCATAACTGACGTTTTCATTAATAACGACTACTATAATGATACATTTACTGGGTAAGAATGATTAAAGGAGCCATAACTTACACTTTTTCATCATCATTTTCCATACTAAGTGGGAAATACTTGTGATTCTACTCACAATATGACCTTTTCCGTTTGCAAATATTCCCGGGCGTCGATATTCACGTCAATCAAGTGTCTAAAAAGCTGTTTCAGGCTCAAGTTGAGCTTGTGAATTTCTAGAAAGCATCACAGGTGGCTGTTGATACCGCACTTCCCTCTGTGCTTTTGGATGTTGTGTCTGAATTATGCTCCATATGCTGTGAGAATGTGTATTTTTATGAAAGAAATAAGTAGGAAATTACAAGGGAATATGGAGGAAACACACTAATGAGTTTGAGCTAAACACGATGGCATCTGAGAGCACAACAAGTACAATAATGGTTATAAAAAGAGATTTTTAACAACTGTATAAATAAAATTGTACATTTTAGAGAGCTTTATCCATCATACCTGTTTCAGAAGTGTGTAGTTTGATCCATCTAAACTGATCTTTCGGATTTCGTGATGGTCAGCTAGAATAAGAAAAGGCTCCTCTGCTGGAAAAGAAAAAAAAAAGTGTTTTATTTCAACATTTTATGCAATGCATGAAATATTTTATTTATATATTTTAAAATATCTTTATTTTATATTTTATTTTACATATTTTTTATTTTATTTTATTTAATGCGATGCATAAAATATTTAGATCATTTTATCATTTTTGTATTTTACTTTATTTATTGCATAAATTATTTTAATTTATGCATTTTATATTTTTAATGTATTTAAAAAAAAAATATTTCATGCAAGATAAAACATTTTCCCGACAACATTTCTTCAGAACATTAAATTGTTTATTACCTGAAAAACAAAAAACAAAACTCTTTCTTTAATCCTGTGTGACTATAAGTTAATAACAAAGTACTTAGGATTTTGTAATTTTCAGTTATATGGATGTATTGGGATTCCACATACTTTAAAAAGCCTTTAAATAAGTGTTTGTGTTGCTCTGTGGATTATTCTGGCTGCGAGACATGACTGCAACTTCAGTTTGACGACTTGAAATCAATTTCCTGTGAGCTGTCAACACTTGAACATCCACTTCCTGTCAAGTCTGGGACTTAGACTTGTCAGTCATACGAAAGCAGTGCTTTATTACTTGAGTGAGTGTGTGTGTGTGTGTGTGTAGGCGCATGTCTTTGAAGGAGAGACACTTGCAAAACAGTACTGTGGCGGTACAGGGATGGTATCAAATGCTACTTTGTTATACTAACTGATATATATATATATATTAGGGCTGTCAATCGATTAAAATATTTAATCGCGATTAATCGCATGATTGTCATGAGTTAACTCGTGATTAATCGCAACTTAATCACACATTTTTTATCTGTTCTGAATGTACCTTAAATTAATACTTTTCAAGTTTTTAATACTTTAATCAACATGGGCATGGACAAATAAGGATGCAAATGCATGTCTATTATTAGTGAAACCATAGTCAACATAGAGCAGGAAGACTAGACATGTTTCACAGGTCATAGATGGTTTTCAAAGAACTTGTTCATGTCTATTAGACACATGAAAATTTTTATATTTTACTGTTTCTGTTGTCAGACAACGGGATAAATATGAAATAGTGACTGAAACACGACCCATTAAGACTACATAACCAGCTCTCTCTTCCAAGACGTTAATAATACACATAAGATAAAGACAATAGCTGTGCTGTGATTTCGAATATACTTGCATGTAAAATTAGAGAAGCAACATAATAGAACAGAGCGGACGCAGAGAGATTGTGCGTTAATAAAATTAATGCTGTTAAAATTAACTTGCGTTAACACGTTATTAACACATTAATTTTGACAGCCCTGATATATATA